ATGGGCTAACCTGGGGACCTGCTCAGCTGCAGGATGGACTACAGAGACAACTCCTGGCTAGAATGCAGGAAAGATTTAGCTCTAGCTCTGCCACTGACTTGCTGTGACTTTCCAGGTCTCTGTTTTGCTTTCTGTACAATGGGAGCCTTCCCAGAAGGAAAGAGGGAAAAGAATCCAAGAGTAAAACCTCGCCTATGAGCATGGGACTGTTCTCCACCGGCCACCATCCCCGAAGGCTCAGCCCTCGATGCTGATGGTGCCAGCTCTGTGCTACTGATCACCGATTACTAACGCCTGCTTCCCCTTTGCCTGACTCAGAAGGGGCCCAAGGTGTGGTCTTCTTTCTGAGCCAATACTCACCCAGTCCACTTAACTTGACAGAGGAAGGGTTAGCCTGCCTCTTCTAACAGTCTCTCATCAAGTGATGGGCCTGAGTCACCATTTGGCTTCCCCGGGAGTTAGAACATCTTCCTGAGCTGGGCTAGCCTGGCCATTCCTTCCAGACCCAGGGACCTCCCCCACCTCCCATCTCACACAGACCAAAGGCTATGGGGAACCAATATCAGCTTCCTCTAGGCCATTCTACCCCCACCAGGCAGCCCTCCCTGCCTCCCAGCTTCAGGCAGAAATGTGGCTTTATCCTACACATTCACACCGGCTACCCGCTGACTCATCTAAGCCAGCGATGGGCACAGGAGAAAAGTCCAAACTCCCAGAAAATCCAAAATCCAAACTCCTAGAAAATTGTCTTGTTGGGACTCTGGTGAGTATGACATTATAAGCTGTTCCCTTAACTGTTCTAGGAACCAGGTCTGGCCAGGCTCTAGTGGTTCACAACTATAATGCTAGCTACTCAGGAGGCTGAGATCTGAGAATCACAAATCAAAAACCAGACCAGACAGGAATATGGGTGAGACTTTTATCTCCAATTAACAGGCTAGAAAGGGAGCTGTGGCTTACTTGGTAAAGCACTAGCCTTGAGCAAAAAAGCTAATGGACAGTGAAGCCTTGAGTTCAAGTCCCAATCTCCACACTAAATAAATAGGACCAGGTTTGTGTTGAAGGCCTTGGGAAACCCAGCATCTGTCAAATCTTGTGACACTTGCTGCCATTCTCAAATATCCAATGGGTGAAGGGCTACAGCAAAGAGGAAGGGGCTGTGATGTTGAAGACTGAGTGCTAGGACCCAGACTTTACTCAAGTTTGCTTCTCAAGGGAGCACTTGCTAAAATTTGGAGCTTCACAACGGTGGAGAGGTCTGGCTTGGCTCAGTGGAGCGTCTCTGGGCTTGGAGACGTTGGAAGAAATGTTTGGCTGGAAGAATCATTGCCCTGTTTTGTATTGTAGGACTTCTCAGAGCCTTTACTGAGCTAGTGAGCACTGAGTGTCCATGGGAAGGACAGAGCATGATGCTTTCCAAATGTATTTGACTGCCAAAGCTCTTCCCTTAAACATCCACAAAGTAGTTGCCACTTGACAGTAGGGCCATACTTTCCAGCTACCCCCATCAACCACCCTAAAGCCTGCTGGGTACAGTCTTTGAGGACAGGCTCTTTGGCAAGGGGCCCAAGAGGTAATGCTTAACTCTACTTTTCCAGAGGTAGAATCCACAGCCACTGCTGCTGGGAATTTAAATTCCAAACAGAACTTGGCAAGAAAGATCCCATGCAGCAACTGCCTCTCCTGAGCACCTGGTGGGAGAGAGGAGGGGCTTAGCTAACTCCCCCCCCCTCTATTTTCCAGCCCCTCCCCCTCCTCCCCCCCTCAGCAGTCTCTCTCTAAAGGCAGGCAGAGTAGTCTCAGATGAGTTTCTGAATGTGAGGTTCACATAGGCCTCCTCTCTGGACCCAGAAGTCTTTTAAGAAACTGCACAAGGAACCGGGGGCCGCTTTAGGGTGACTCCTGGTACTTTCTCTCCTATATTTGCCTGTGAACTCTCCCATTTCCCTCTCTGCTCCCAGGGCCAGAGTGCCACTCAGAACCCTTGGCTTATCTTCAGCTTGCAGGGCTGAGGTTCTAGGGGCACAATGGGCTTCTGTGCCCCCAGTGTCCTCACCTCCCCCAGTGCCAGCTGCATTCATGGTGTTTTTCTGTTGTGGAGGGAGCAGCCTGGGGGCGGTGCGGGAGGGGGTGGGCTCTTGGCACAGGGGCTGGCACAGACAGGCTGTGGTCAGCGGTCAGCATGCCAGTCACATCCACAGGCACTGCCACTGGGCCTGCCAGGCCTCACACAGAATGGCAACGCTCCTGGGCTTTGGGTCCCTTTGAAGAGTCTCCACCAGCCACATCGAACGTGCTGCCCCCACATCCAGCCTCCTGGAGGCTCAGAAGTGGGGGGCATCTCTTCCCGTCTTCCCAGCCAGTTGCTATCATGGAACCATATTAGGTTACCAGCTAAGCCTGGACGTAGGAAAGGCCTGTCCCCAAACACACAAGTGGGGCTCGGGAGAGGGTTTACGAGGCCAAGGGGGTGGGGGTGTGGACAAGGAAGACTGAAGTTAATACAACCTCCTGGAAGTCAGCAGCCAGAGCCCCCCAGCCCTCCAAGGAAGCTGCTGGCCTGGGACCATAAGAAGCCCCTGGACGCTCCTTGGGCTCAGGCTGTCCGCAGGCCCATGTTCTCTGAATGGTGCAGGTCTTCAGTGTGAGACACACCACCCTGAGGACAAGCAGAGATAAAATCTACCAGAGGGGTAAGCCAAGGCCCAGAGAGAGACAGGATCATGAGACAGCTGGGTACCAGTGGCTCATGCTTGTTATCCTAGCTGCTCAGGAGGCTGAGATCTGAGGATCATGGTTTGAAACCAGCCTAGGCAGGAAAAGTCCATGAGATGCTTATCTCTAATCAACCAGCAAAAAAGCCAGAAGTAGTGCTATGCTTAAGTGGGAGAATACAGCCTTGAATGGACAAGCTAAGGCCCTGAGTTCAAGCCCTAGTACTGGCATCAATAAAAGAAAAAAGAAAAAAAAAAAAGATATGAGAGACATATCTCCAACAGTGTTCTCAAAATCTACTTGCCTATTCCACCGTGTGCCCTTTCTGGGAGAAACTGAGGCACGCAGTACTGAAGTGAAAGGAGGAAGAACTCACTGAGCCACAGCTGGGATCCTAGAGGGCAGAGATATTCAAAAGCAGGCAGGGCATCCCATTCCCATGGGAGACTCCTGATGGCCCCAAACTCCCAGGAGTAGAGATCCACAGGTGAGGGACAAGGCCAGCCTAGGGTGGGAGCAGAGGGAGGCTAACAGAGGCTGATTAGGGACCCTAGTTGATCAGTGGGCCATGTCACCTCCTCCCGGAGTGAGCGTTCACCCTTGAGGGCATACCCTCTTGCAGCCATCCACCATCCAATCAATCACTTACCAAGACAGCACTCACCCCCCCCTCCCCACCCCATCCAATCAGCCACCATTCCCACAGATTGTCTGCCTACTTATCTGTGGCTTCCTCTAGCCTGTGGCTTTGAAGGCCCAGCCCCACCTCCCCCATTCCAGCTTAACAAATGTCTGGGAAGAGAATAAACAACAGGGAAAGACCCAGGCACTAAAGAAACACTCCACGGAACTGTCCTCCAAAGTCACTGGTCACCTGAGGAGGCCCCAAAGTCTCTTACAAGAAGGAAAACTCCCTAACCAAGAAACATTCTTATATGCAGAGTGGGGAACTTTACAGTTTATAAGAGCTTTGGCATACAAAAGCTTCTGTCTGGCACTATGGGGTACCTTCTCCGTCTCATCTCCCTCAACCATGCCCAGTCGCCCCATACCAATTCCACCCCACTGCTCAACAGGGCAGTTTTATGTGTCCACAGATCCCCCGCCCCACACACTGTAAATAAAGGCAGAGTTGAACATATATATATGAAACTAGAAAGAGTGATCTTCTATCCACACTCCTTCCTGGCATGTACACCCAATCATACACAAACTGCCTCCCACCCTATTTGGGGCTCCAAAGGAAACGGAAAGTGACCCCCTCCTGCTCCCCCTTCCCCATCCCCCACCCTTCTGCACCTTGGCAGAGATCAGCGACAAAGGAAGCTGGTGAAAGCCAGAGAGGGTGTCTTCAATTCCAAATGAAGCTGGAGTGGGGGTGCAGGAGGAGGAATCCAGCAGGAGAGAGAAACCAACTCTTGAGAAGGCCTTGCAGAAGACCCCTCAAAAAGAGTTGGAGGTCATGGCAATCTGTGTGTTTATCTTGCTGGGAAGAAGACGCTGCCCAGTAGACTTTGTAACTGGATCCACCAACCAGACAGATTTTGTGACACACAGAGGTTCCTGGAGAAGTGGCCAGTGGCTGGAACCCTCCCCTCTATCTAGCCCCCCACAACCCCCAGAGAGCTCTAAGGATTTCCCTTTCATTTCCTTCCAGGCTGGGAGAGCCAGGGGACAGCAGCAGTCGGCGGAGGGTCAAGTCCTCAAAAACCACTTCCTATGTGGCTGGGGGAAGGACGAGCAGCTGGAAGATGGATCTTGGGGGTAGGGGGAGGTGTCCCCAAATGGAAGCCACAAGAAAAGCACACTGAGCCAAGTTACTGCCCCTCCAGGGCGCTGTCGGATGAGGAATCGTGAAGGTCTGAAGAGAAAAGATGGTAGGCCCTCCCAGAGTTCAGACAGGGCAGGATCTGCGCTCTTAGATCCCAGCTAGTAGCGGTGGCCAGAAGGGAGACAGGATTGGACAAGGGAAAAGACACTTGGAAGGGGTTCCCCGCCCTGGCCGCACCCCAGCTGTCTGGAAAAAATCCGGAGAACACCCTGGGTTCTCAGCTGGGAGAAGAGGGTGATCGGGGGTGGGGTGGGGGCCTGCTCAGGTCGGAGCTGCTTCAGCCCAGGACGTAGCGACACTCTTCCCCCGACGCCCCCAGGGACCTGGGGCCACAAGGTTGTCGGAGTCGTTGGAAGCCCAGCCCAGCCGGGCCGCCCGGGGCGATGCGAGGACAGTTGGGAAAGGGTCTGGCACAGCCGAGGGGCGCAGGGCGGGGGCGCGCGGGGGCACCCACCTCTCCGCGCTGCAGCTGGAAGAAGCTGTTGAGATAGCTGGAGTGCAGGGGCGAGCCCAGCTGCTCGGGGCGGCCCTTGCCGAAGGCCAGCTCCGGGGGCGCGGCGCCAGCGGGAGGCTCGGGCCGGAAGGCATCGAAGGCACTAGCCTGGTGCGTGTCCTGCAGCGACAGGTAGACCCAGTTGAGCAGCTGGGCCGGCTGGTACACCGAGGCGGCGCTCGTGTCGATGGCCGACAGCAGGCTCATTTTTGCCGCGGCGGTGCCGGCCCCTCCCCGGCCGCCCGCTCGCGCCCCCCTCCCGGCGGAGGGGCGGGCACCGGGGAGCCTGTATTGCCCACTGCCAGCTGCCCGAGCCCGGATGGCGATCGCCTTGGCGGCCCCGCGCCCCGCGCGCGCTGCCCGCAGCCGCTGCCACCGCCGCCTCCCCCCCGACTGCAGCCCGGGGCGCGCGCGGGCGGAGGAAAGGAGGCAGCGAAAGTTGGGCAGGAAACTTTTGGCCCCGCCCCTCCGGCCGCCGGCCCCGCCCCGCTCCGCGATCCGCTATCTGCCACAGGGCTGACCCCTCCCGGGGGCAGCTCCCAGGGTGGGGTCCGCTGAGCCCCGCCCACGCCCCGCCCCGCCTGGTCTCGTCCTCTCCTTCCATTGGCTGCTTCATTAAATATGCATATGAGGGCAGGGGCGAGGGAAATGAGATCTCTTCTCTGGCTGGACAGTGTAGGCCCGCCTGGGGACGGGGTGCGGCGTGGTGGAGGTAGGGGGGGAGGGCGGATGGAAGGGTGGATGGGTGGGGGGGCGGGAATAGGAGGGGAGCAGCCCCTCCCCATCTCCTCCTGCCCCAAGCCGGGCAGACTCAGCTCCTGGCTCGCTGGCGTTCTGGGTTGTCCCAGCAGTGATCTATGTCTTGAAGCTCTGATGGCTGCTCTGTCTGGTCTCCTCTTCCCTAATTATTTTGTTTTTACTCCCCTCCTCCTGCTCCTCTCGCTCCCGTCCCTCTTCTCGCTATTGGCCTGATTGCTTTTCTGTGATTCTCTCTGTCTCCTCTCGCGTGTCTCCTCCTCTATTTGTCTCTTTTGATGTTTCCTTCTTTCTCTTTTTCACACACACACACACACACATACACACACACACACACACACACACACACATTTCTTCCCTCCCCTCGCTATCACCACAGGACCCTCCTCCTTCCACTTAATTCCTTCCATCTGCAGAATAGCTTTGCAGGCCGGCTGCGCCGAGGGGGGCCCCGGGTTCCTGCCCCAGGAAGGACTCCCCACCCCCTTCCCTCCTCCTCCTCGTTCCTCTCCTATTTCTGCTCTGCGTCCTGCCTTGCTTCTCTACCCTCTCCTCCTTCCTTGCTCCATCCTCAACACGCCCTGATCCCTAGGAGGGGCGCCAGGACCCCATCTAGGCCTGGAGTGGGAGGAATCCTGCGAAGCCTTGAGGCCTTCATCCCTCAGTCCCTGGACAATCTGCTCTGAACTAACTCCCAGCACTTACCCACCGACCAGGAAGTCTCCCCTGCCCTCACAGGGGAACTGGTGGCCTTGCAGCGACTCAGGTCACTTCTGACACCTCCAACTGGGATCCAGGGGTATCCTGCCACGTCTTCAAAGATCATCTAAGTCACTTCTAAGTGTCACCTAGCCTCTGGGAGTGAGATGAGAATGACCAGAATTCTAATTCTGAGGTGATTGTGAAGTTTGCCAGGTTGGGTTTCGGGAACAGAAGATATTTCATAAATGTCAGTTCTCTGCCACTATCCTCTCCACTTGACTTACCTGTTGTAAGCAAGAACTGTGAATGCTTGAACCAGAATGGCCTTCAATGGTGGCCAGCTGATGTCTGGTCCACCAACGAAGAGCTCCTTTTGCCTCAAATCTCTGTGTTTCCAAAGAGGTTGTCTATCAAACAATGTGCAGTTGTTAATATAAATGATAACATGAATGCTCATCACATCTCAATATTTTAATTCATCAAAAAACACCTATACAGTCCCCTTCATATATTTAAGCTGTGTGAAACGTATTTAAGAAGGAGATTCATGATAGTTGGAAATAATAAATATGAGACCCGTGTGTGTAATGTGTGTGTATGCGGGCATGTGTGTACTAGTCTTAGAGTTGAACATGGGGTCTGGCCACTGTCTCAGCTTATTCACTCAAGGCTGGCGCTCTACCACTTGAGCCACTGCTCAGCTTTTTGCTGGTTCATTGGAGATAAGAGTCTCAGAATATCCTGCCCTGGCTGACAGTGAGCCACCATCCTCAGATTTCGGCCTCCTGAGTAGGTAGGATTTCAAGTATGACCTATATGTGGCTGACATGAGACACATTTTATTCTCGGGAATTTCCAGAATGCTACAGCTTTCTGAGCTTTCAAAGGTAGGGAGGAGAATTTGGAATTACTAACCAAGACTTTTTCTAGACTTCACAGAGAAAACTACTGATCTGAGAGTTGATGTCTTGAATTGTACAAGCAGGTAGTTGGGGAATCCAGAGGAGAACCTGAGGCATTAGTGCCATTCTAGAGTTCTTTGTTTCTGTTCCCCCATTCACTCTAGACAAAAATTGTCCTATTAGGTTAAAGGACTGGTATTTTTCCCAAGTATGGGCTGCAAATTCAACTTCTAAGGGTTAGGCGGGTGATCAGCAGGGTAAGACAATAAGTAGGTGGTAATGAGACCTGTGGGAAACTAAAACGCTAGCCAAAAGAAATACTTCTGTTATGTTGTGGGCATAAAACTAAGAATGTAAATTGAGAGCCAATGGCTTATGCCTGTAAGCTTATCTACTCATGAGGCTGAGATCTGAGGATTGAGATTCAAAGCCAGCCTCAGCATGAAAAACTGTGTGACTCTCATCTCCAATTAATCACACACAAAGAGAAAGAAAGAAAGAAAGAGAGAGAGAGAGAAAGTCTAGAAGTAGTAGACCTCTATCTTTGAGCACAAAAGCTAAGGGACAGTGCCAAGACCCTAAGTTCAAGCCTCTCAAGCCCTAGTATTTGCATACACACACATACAAACACATGCAAGACTAAGGATCTGATACCTACTCAGTGATAAAAAGGATTATAAGAGAATACTATGCACATTTGCATGGCACTAAATTAAACAAATTAGATGAAGCAAATTCTTCTCCCTTTCCCTACCCATGGCACACTTGCTCAACACATGAGCTTTGTACCCAGTAGGTGATCAATAAATGTGAGCAACATCCAGGAAGTTTGACTGAATTCACCTTGCTGACCTAAGATCAGCTGCTTCATTGGCTACAGAAGACATATGCTGTGGGACAGAGGTTGTGTCTGTAGTCTAGTACCAGACCAAAAGACTGGGCCGGATCCCAGGTTTGTGCCTCCTACCCTGGCCACTCCCACTTCTGAGCTTGTCAGAAGTTCTTATTAAAACCCTGGCTTTCATCTGTCTTTGGGAGGATAAGGGTACAGCAATAAAGGGACAAAGAGTGAACAAATGCATCAGTGGTACTAACTAGACACTATGTTGAAAATGAACTATGGGATAGGGAGGGAAAAACTGAGAAAGAGAGAGAGAGAGAGAGAGAGAGAGAGAGAGAGAGAGAGACATTGTCCAAAAGGAAATATACTCATTACCTGACTTACATAATTGTAACTCTTCATACATCACCTTATAATAACAATTTTAAAAAGTGGGGGGTGGGGAGCTGGGAAGGTGGCTCAATGGTAGAGTGCTTGCCTTGCATGCATGAGGCCCTGGGTTGGATTCCTCAGCACCACATAAGCAGAAAAAGCAGGAAATGATGCTGTGGCTCAAGTAGTAGAGCGCTAGCCTTGAGCTGAAGAGCTGAGGGACAGTGCCCAGACCCAGAGGTCAGGCCCCATGACTAATAATAATAATAATAATAATAATAATAAACTAAGTAAGGGGGAAAAAACTGGCTTTTTGCTAGGTGCTGGTGGTTCATACCTATAACTAGCTACTCAGGTGGCTAAGATCTCAGGATGGCTGTTTGAAGCCAGCCAGAGCAGGAAAAGTCCATGAAATCTTTATGGCCACTAGTAAATAACTAGCTAAATAAAAAAGACACAAGTGGAGCTGGAACTCAAGTGGTAGAGCTCTGAGCCAAAGAAGCTCAGAGACCATGCCCAGGCCCCAAGCTCAAGCCCCAGGATGGGTTCCACTGAGGAGGAGGCACTGCAGCCCAGGAAAAGGAGACTTGCTAAGCCAACTGTTAAGTCCAACAGCCTAACCACACCCATCTCTGCTTCACAGGTCCCAGTGCTCCCAGTGAAGCAACTCTGGCCTCATATTTGCATCTCAGAGCCAAAGACAAGAGGAACTCCCAGACCAGGTTGAGCCTTGGTCCCTTTCCTCGTGAGGTGACTCCAGCTACTCCATGGTCTCCAGAACCAGGCAATGGAGAGAAGACAGGATTTAGAGAAGAATGGCTGTTCATGTGCCCTGGAGCAGATCTCTGCCCTCTCTGTAAACTGTAATTTGCCCAGTCAACAAATGAAAATGCTCCCTTCCTCCCTCTTCCCATATACACACACTGATCTGGGACTGTCAAGGGTCAAATGAGAGTGTGAACAGAATAGCTCTTTGCTAACTATGCAGCCATGTGGCAGTGAACGATAGTATTGATCATTTCAGTAATAGGAATACTCAGTTTATCTGGAGAGAAGGGCTGGGGTATATCTCTGTCTCAAAAGTCATCTCAGGTCAAACAGACCTGATTGACAGGTGTTGATGGAGTTTCCAACCAAGAGCTTTCAGCTCAGAGGAATGGGAGGAGAAGCAGGGTGTCTTGGGGAAAGACAACAAAACAACCCCCCAAAGCAATCTTCAATTTAGGCAGCAGAGATGAACAGGGACAAAGAGAGAAGTCTCAAGTTAAGTTAAGCCAGTCCCTTCCATATGTGGAATCAAGAAACACCATGTTTATAGGCTCAAACCTGTAATTCTAGCTACTCAGGAGGCTGAGATCTGAGGATCACAGTCCAAAGCCAGCCTGGACAGGAAAGCCCATGAGACTCTTACTGCTAATTAACCACCAAAAAGTCAGAAGTAGAGCTGTGGCTCAAGTGGTAGAACATTAGCACTAAAGCTCAGGGACAGTGCTCAAGCCCAGAGTTTAAGCCCTTAGGACTGACAAAACAAAAACAAAAACAAAAAAACAGCACAAGCAAGGCTGAAATTATCTCTCCACTTGGCCAGGGCCAGGCACTGGACATCTGTGGACTGTATGTGGACACTGAAGGAGACCGTTTATAGACTAGAGGGCAAAATGGTAAATACTCCCCCTGTCTTCCCCTCTCCCACGTGGGGACAAACAGCCATCATCCAGCACAGAACCTGGCAGATCCTCTTCAGCTTCCTCCTCTGGGCAGCTGTCCTCGTCCCCACACACAAGAAGCTAGAGGTCAGCCA